AGCCCAAAGAAAGTTTACATTTCAAACGAGAATTGTATTGTGGTCTGTAGTCTAACTACTAATTGTTCTTCACGCTTCTATGCACTAATCTGTGATGAAATAGGATGGAAGATGAATTGAAAGTTTTGAGTATGAAATTAAAGAACGAAGAATAGATGAGAGATCAAGGAGAATGTTAGTATTGATCTCACCGAGGGCCAACGCCTAATGGCCTTGTCAGCATACGATCGGGGCGCCAACCCTACATGGTTGGTGGGCCCCGTCGTACAACATACGCTATAAAGGAAGGTGGGGCGGGGGGGCTCGCATGATACGAGGTTCACTACCGAATTCTCCCATACATCCTAAACCCTAGACCCGATCGAAAGTAGGGCGCGGCGATACCAAATGACGGAAGTGCCATCACACCGTTCAGTGATCCAACAACGAAACCCGGCCGGAGCTTCAACAACTGCTTTGACTTTGACTTATCACCTATCTCTCAATCTCTCTCTGTGAAATCCGATTGATCTATTACTGTGCTAAGAAAACCGATCCGATGAACATACCTAAGAACCCTAAATCTAACAAACGTGAACCCCGTCAACTACTGACTGGTAAGGTGTAGTAGGACCGGGAACATGCTGTGCTAGCGTTTCTGATGTCAGTCACTGGCACTGCTTGGCCTTTCTGTATCGATTGCGGCGGCAGGTTCCTGAACCGTCATTGGACGAACGAGTCCGGCCGTTCTGTCTCCAACCATCCATCCTTCAGATGTTCAGATCGGATTTCAGGTCCAGAGGAGCAGCGTGAGTGCTAGGGACCGGGGGGACTCGTCCTGACTCCTGACAATGATGAAGCCCGGCCCTTTTGAAAGGCAAAAGGCAACGCATGATGCCTAACAGGGTCCAGGATCGGATCAATTTGGGTGGCCTTTTTCAGGTGCATTCTTCTCCTCCGCACTTCCACCTGAGCGTCGCCCGCCCCCGGCCCCCGTCGTCGGCCTCGGTCAGGTCGCGTTCGCCGATCCACCCCGTCGCAATTGCCTTGCCTCTTTCCCGCACAAACCGGCAGCCGATGCGTTGCCGGCTTGCCGCCACTGTGCTGTGCATCAGTGGAGCAGCTGCCGCTCTCCGCTTGGTTGGCTGGGCTCCCTGCCTGCCCCCCTGGTTCTACGTCTAGATGTGGATCTGGATCAAGACGCGCGGGCGAAAGCGATTGATGCCATGCCATGTAGTATATGGACTTGCAGCAACGGTGCTAGCCTCCGACGCCCCACGGACATTTGGCAAAACCTAGAAATGAACCTCATGGCCCCGGTACGCTCTAGAAACTGGCACATCTACGCGCCAAATGCAGCAACGTCGGCCTCGGCGTATGGAAATTGGACTCTGCCGGGTTAGCCACACGTCTTGTTCCAAGTCCTCGCGACCATTCTACTCCAAAATCAAACGTCTGGTTTTTTTATACACGGTACCGACGAGACATCAACGTTTGTTAGTTAGTTATTCACCCTCCACTTCGTTTATGTTGAAATTTAGCTTATGCTGAAATTTTATGAGAGAAAAATTCTGTTCCAGAAAAATAGTTCTGAAGAATAAGTTAAGCGAATAGGGCGAGTATTTCGTAGGACGAGAATGTTGAAATAAAAAATTGCTCATTGATCTGTTATAGTCGGGTAGTAATTACTTTGCACCAACTTTAACAGCTCCTTGTATCTCAAAGGAGAGAGAGGGAGTATACTACTGTAGAATCTATCACTGTCATTGCATCATCAACCATTTCGTACCGCTTCTTTTCACAGCCTATAAAAAAATTGTTACATCTTGACTCTCTTGTACATCATCCATCTATAGGTGCGTACATGGATTGGAGTCGTCTCCCCTACCAAGTCCTATCTACACCAGAAGATCTATATCTAACAATATTCACAGAAAGATTAACTATAGATAGAAGAACTATATGCTACAAACAAAAAAGAAAAACTGTATGCTACAAAACAAAAGGAAAAACTAAGAAAAAAGGACAAGAGGAAAGGCGCACACCAACCAACGAGTCCGGCAAAAAGCGTACGCGGCACGTGGGCCCGCGGGTCAACGGTCATCGGTGAAGCAAGGAGCTGGCGCCGCCACCGCTCACCGCTACGGGCTACGGCGTGGCGCCCCAGAGCACCTCGGCGAGCACGGTGGCCTCCTCCGCCGGCGACACGGCCGCCTCCCGCACCCGCCGCAGGATCTCCAGCTTCGTCTCGCGCTTCTCCCGCGGGCTCAGCCCCACGCCCACCTCCACCTGCACCGCGAACCGCGCCACTGCGCTCACAAACGGCCGCTCCTCCATGTCCGTGTCCGCGGCGCCGTCGTGACGCCGCCACACCGTGGGGAGGCAGGCCAGGAGGAGGGAGCCATCGGCTTTGGTGTCGTCGGGCTTCGCCTTTGGGCAGCCATCCTCGTCCTCGTCCGTGTCCGTGTCCGCGAGCAAGCCGCCGAGGTCGGAGCGCTGCAGGCATAGGAGGCGCTTGACGAGGCCCTCGGCGAGGAGCGCCTCCACCACCTCCTTGCGGCCGTAGTACCCGACGCGGAGCGCGAAGCCGAGCGCGGGGACGCGGGCGCGGGGGTCGGGCGCACACAGCAGCGCGACTAGCCACGGGAGCTCGCCGCGCGCGTGGAGTTCGTCCACCAGCGGGCTCCGGATGGCGTCCACCAGCCCGTTGAGCGCGCGCAGCGGCGCCGGGGACGCCGACGCGGACGCCACCAGCGCACCGACGGCGGGGCCCATGAGGACGGGCCCGACGAACACGTCCTTGTTGAAGCGCACCAGCGCCAGTACCGCGGCCGCGCAGCCGTCGCCCACGGCGGGGTCCCCGAGCCCGGCCTCCACCGCCGGGAATACGCCGTGGCCGAGCAGCTCGCGCTGGAGCCGCGGGTCGAACCGCCCACCCGTGGACAGCAGCCGCGCCTTGAGCTCCACGAGGAGCGCGCGCGCGGCGTCCGCCCTGCCGCCGCGAAGCGCGGCCACGAGGCGCGCTATGGCCTCGCGGTCAACCCACGACTGGATCTCGCCGGCGACGGCGCCGGCCACGCGCGCGACGGCCCTCCGCGCGCCGCACCGGCGGCAACGTGCGCGCAGGGACAGGGAGCCGGAGCACAGGTCAACGGAGCACGAGAGGGCTCTGAGCCGGCACAGGAGGCGGCGCAGGGCGACGAGATCGGGGTCGCCGGCGAGGAGGTCGTCGGCGCCGGCCTCGAGCGCGAGAAGCGACTGCAGCGCCGGCCCTCGTACCTCCCCCGCCTCCACCCTCCGCGCGGCGTCCCGCAGCGCTCGTAGGACGTGGAGGAAGCCCTCCTCCCACTCCTCCATGGAGATGGAGGAGGGGGGAGGCAGGGCACCCGAGGCCTCGTTTTTATCTCGCTCGTCTGCACGTCTTGTCTCTACTCTGCTACTAGTCTACTGCCGACGCGTACACCCGCAGTCACACGGTGGTAACCACTCGGCTCGGCGTCGTCCCGCGAAATCAGAGCCGTTTTACCGGTCGCGCGCGGGTGGTTCTGCTTCCGCGCTCCGCCCCCGCCGCGCAAAGCCACGGAGAGCATGCTCGCGAGAAACAGAAGCAGGACAGCTACGAAGCACGTGACCTTGGAATCTCGAGATGCAGTAAAATGGTGCGCTCAGTAGATGCGATCATCAGAGGCATTAAAAATTCTCTTATATTATGGTGAAAGTGTAATTTTACACGTGTAGTTCGGTACGACTATGCAATGCCGTGATTGGCTGTGACTGTACCAGTCTCGCACGTATCATGACTCATGAGGTCGGAAGAGGTTGCAGTGCCACGACAGCAGACTTTCGTTTCGCCGTGCCGGTCTCTCGTGATGGTTAAGTTTTAAACCAACCTAATTTTCAGTAAGAGGTTGTCTGAACTCCTCCGTTTTATGTTTTCTCTCTCTCTATGGAACTCCCTGCGAATTCTGCGAAACAACTTAACTCCACCAAATTTTGGAGTAGAGAGCTATATGCGTAAGAAGGTTTATCTCCCTTATTTTTATTTCGAGATGGATCATGTGTAAACGTGCTCTAAAAAATTTAGAGTCGCTCAACCATGGAGTTTTTAGACTGAGCTAAAAAACGTGGGGGGGGCTGAATAGTCCTAAATAAAGTTTAAAATATAAACCAAATGTTTTCTTTTCTATCTACTCTCCGTAGAATCTAGGTTTGAGATGTACTTCGGGTGGCGTGGACATCTTAGTGTGAGTGGTGTCACTGGTGTACATTCCTTGGTATATCCGGATCTCACAACGAGCAAAAGGATCCACGGAATATGTCCAAGTTTTATATTATGCCTTTCATGCTTTGACAAACGCAGGCAGCTTTGGTGCATGCATGTGGTGGCTCGCTAACCCGATCCGCCATCCGCCGGTCAAACCATCACCCAAACAGGCTGTCTCAAGAGACGGGCCACGACGCCTGCAGGCTCAGGCTTCAGGCTTCAGGCTTCAGGCTTCAGCCCAGTTTCCTGCCGACGACGTAGCGGGCCAGCAGTGCCTGCAGCCCGTCTGCCACAGGGACCCCACTTCCGCAGACAGGCCGCGGCACATCGCTCGCGCACTCCGCTCGTCAGCACTCTCGTCGTCTTCACCAAAACCCTATAGCGGGGCTGCGGGAGGGAGAAGAAGCGAGCCCCCACCTCCACCCGCCCGCCGCCATGGCGCTCCACCGCATCACCGCGCGGAGGAGAACCGTTCTCCCCGCCATCCGTGCCTTCTCCTCCTCCTCTAACCCGCCGTTCCCTCCGCCCCCCACTTCCGGCGAACGACCTCGAAGCCGCCCAGTCCCCATCCTCCTCTTCGCCCCCCAACCCCGGGGCGCCGCGGAACCCGGCGTCCTCGCTCTTCCAGGACATCAGAGATCGCCTCCTCTCGTCTCCCACGTCGCCCTCTCCGCGCCGGATCCCGACGAACCTGCCCCGCCCCAACCCCGCGCGAGGCGCTCCTTCTTCGCAACCGGCCCCTGAAGACATCCGCCGGATGCTCCAGAACTTCCGCTCAACCGGCGGCGCGCCATCCACCTCCGCTCCCGGAGCCGCCCCGTCACCCTCCGCTCCCGGAGCCACCCCCGTATTCACGGACCTGTTCAAGAAGGACGGCGTTGCCCAGGGCCCCAACGCCGTCGCCGGGCGGGGGGTGCTCGGCCTCGATGCCAACCGAGGGAGCCTCAAGGGCCCCCGTTCGTCGAAGCCTTTTATGACCCGTTTGCCGAGCAGCATCTTCCGCCCGGAGCTAGAGAGGAACTCGAAGGCTGTAGGTGCGGGGCAGGAAGAGAATGGCTCTGCCATTGCGCTTAAGAGGCACTACAGCTACGAAGAGCTTGGGAAGAGGCTAGGGGAGCTGCGGCCGGCGGGTGCGGGCAAAGACGGTAAGTTGTGGTTCTCGCTCACGGAGCTGCAGGGGCGTATCGCCAAGCTGGCAGAGTTGGAGAAGCAGGAGAACCGGTTTGCCAAGCCGCAATTTTTGGAACTCCGGAGTGGCATTGAGAACCTGCAGAAACAAGAAAACCCGGCTCGGCAGGTAAACATGAATACACTGCTGAACCTTGGCGGTCAGCTGGACTACATGGGTCGGCCTCCGCAGGAGGAGTTGTTAGAGAAGGTGAGATTGGCCTTTTATTTTTGCTACTTATCAAAGTAATTGCTTAGCTTATTTACAGTCTTAGGATAGGATGTGGTCTACTACTTCTGATCAAAGTTGTTATCTTCAGTACTTCCATCCAGATCATATGTCATCCGAAGAGAAGATGAAATTGGAGCTCCAAAGGGTGAGGGATGAGCTCAAGATGTCTGAGAATGACTGTGGGTCTGCACGAGTTCAAAGTGAACACTTTATTCTGTTCTTCACTTCTTGAGTTCGAAGTAACACTTTACCCTCTTCTTCAAAGTAAACACGAGTTCAAGCAGGCTGATGGTTTCTACGGCTGATAAGCCGGCTGAAGCTGATTTGTTGTTAGAGAAAAACACTTTACCATGGATGATAAGCCATGCTGATAAGTTCAAGCGAACAGGGCGTCCCAATTATGTGGAAATAAGAAATACTGAATGCAGTATTTGTTCTTTAACTAGACACTACTTTTTCATTGTTTTCATACACTTCATTCCTTTTGTGGTTGCGTAATACATACAAAAACTGTGCGTTTATTATTGATGCTATGAAGTTGATTTGAATATTTGTGTTTGTTTGTCTTTATTGGGCTGTTTATTTGATGCTTATATCTGAAACAAACATGTAGCTATATGTGAACTAAACAGTAAACACATTTCTGCTTTGTCAATCTCTTGTTCTCAGACCTTCTTGTTTACTAGGGAAAAAGCATCACCTAAGCATGAGAACTTTTATCTCTTTTATTTTTCTACATGAGGGCTCATAGCAGCTCTGACTCTGATGTATGTTTAAAGATCTCGAACATTGTATATTTGTATGCCCCTGTGGCTTTGTTGCCTTTTGTATGTGAATCATGCATGCGTGTTGCACTGTTACTGATATGTCCATATTTCATTTGCAGTTGCCCAACTGACTCTGAAAATCAAGCATCTGTCAGCTGTTCTACACAAGAAGGTATGCAAAATCCTAGGTCCTCCTTATGATTTATTGTGCTATTTCACTGCAACATCTGGCAGCAATGCTTTTGGAACTGTTTAATCTTGATTTGGAGAAGTTGTTGTGATGCAGGATAAACATTCTAGAAAGGGGCTTCAGGAGATGGTCCAAAGGAGGAAGAAATACCTGAAATACTTGCGCAGAACCGACTGGGACTCGTACTGTCTTGTTCTGTCAAAGCTGGGGCTTCGCGATGTGCCCGAGTACAAAGCTCCTGATTACAAGAGCAAAGCAACCACCAAGGCCAAATCTAAGAAGAATAACAAGGGCAAGGGCAAGAAGAGAAAGGTGAAGTTTTAGAGGTGGTGAACAAATCTGCCCTTCTTTTGGCCAAATCTAAGAAGAGCAGCAAGGGCAAGAAGAGAAACGCTCAGGCCTGAGATGGCTCGATCCAATCTTGCAATGATGTATTTTTGAAGCTGTTTGTAATAACCATTTCTCTAGAGTCTTGATGCCGAGGTTTTTCCTTGGCTCGCTAGGAGCTGCAACCTTCTGCAACAACTGATTTCTCCTTTGATTTCTTCTTGCCCTTGAGTTCTCCCGCTCGATTTGCCGAGAAGGGATGTGGACTAACAGATTCGATAGTACTAATATCTGCCTATGGTGTAAAAAAAAAGTATCTGTCTCTGCATCACTCAAGGCCCTGTTTGCTTAAACTTATTAGCGGACCGTTTCAGCGAAATAACAGTGTTTTTCTCTCATAACAAATTAGCATAAGCTGTTTTTCCAGTCAGCCGAACAGGGCGCAAGTATCTATCTATGCATCACTAAGTGTTTTGGGGCCAGAACACTCAGTATCTATCTATGCATCACTAAGTGTTTTGGGGCAAGAACACTCAATTTATTTTCTTCACACCTTCCTCCTCTTGACCAGTCGCCACGGTGTAGTAGGGTCTTGCTGGAGCTCTGTCGTCATGGGTCTCTGACGAGAGCCTACCGCATCTGCGACGATCTTCTTCCCCTCCCATGCCGTCGTCATGGCCATGGTTGCCTCTGTCCCAACTTGGCCTAGCTGTCTCCTCCGCTCGCTCTAGTGGCGGTGGCATCACCGCCGCCTCCACCTTGCCGTCGTCTCTCCCGTACCCACTGCTTGGTCTGCCTATCCCCCAAAAATTTTCTTCTAAGCTTGCCGGAGAGCCTACCGTGCCAGCGACGATCTTCTTCTTCCCCTCCCATGCCGTCGTTATGGCCATGGTTGCCTCCGTCCCAACTTGGCCTGGCCGCCTCCACCTCGCCGTCGTCTCTCCTGTTCCCACGCCTGGTCTGCCTGTCTCCCCAAAAATTCTTGTAAGCCTGTCGGAGACGGAGAAAAAGAGAGGGAAAGGAAGAGAAAAGAGAAGATGGAGAAGAAGAGAGGGGGAGGAAGAGAATAAAGAGGAATAGTGTTTATACTGTAGTACTCACATTCAGTCTGTTTACTTGTTGGTTTCAGCCAGCCAACAATGTTTTTCTCAAAAAAAAAAACCAGCACCAGCCAGTTCAAACCAGCACCAGCACCAGCCCATTATCACTGATTACGGAAACTGCATATGGTTTTGATGGAAATTCTACTAATTTTGATTTTAAGACCGTGATATCAGAACGAGGGCTCCCACGGCCGGCCCGACCCGAGCACCCGACCTGCGGTCCTCGGCCGGTGGCTCGGCTTCCTCGTCTCGCTGCCCCTCACTACCACGCAACCAGTAAAAACCTCCCACCCCGAACCCCTCCGCCGCCGACGCCGCCGTGGCCAAGGAGCACGAAAAGGACGCGACGCGACCTATCCCTCGGTCGCGGCTCCAGATCTCGCCGCCGCCCGTTTCTCTTCAATGGAGGCGATCTCCTCGTCATGTGCGGCCGCCGCGCCACCGCCCCCCTCCATACCCTCGTCCAGCGACCAGGGCGTCTGGGCTGACGCCTCGCCGATCCTCGCCGCCGCGTGCCGTGGTAAAACTCGAGGCAGAGCCTTCCCCTTGCTGTTTGCTGATGTGAAACGTGCTAGTCTCTGTTGTTTGGAGGCCTTGCATGCAGGCTCTGTTGTGCGGTGGATCGTGCGTGTAGATCTCTGTGCACGTGGATACTGGTGTGGATGGTTTCTCGTTTTGGTTTGCACCGAGCAATGCGAGATGCTTGGTTGCCTGATGAGATTTTGGTGTCAGCAGCATATGGGATGTACCCAGTCAGTTTTAAACCGTAGAGAAAAAACAAACAAACACGCACACTGTGTTTGATTGAATAGTAAATATGAAATGGGTTGCCGTTGCTGTGGGAGAACTGTACTGGCAATAGGGATATTCTGTAGAATGCGTTGTCTAGGTCCTAGGATTTGGTGTTTGTTTTATGTTGCATTTTAAACGTTAGATTCAAACACCTGCCCATTCTGAGGTAGCCTGTGAGTGATGTGTCGTTGAAACACCTGAGAATCGAGAGCATGTAGTTTCGTGCCCCGAGAGTTACCGATTTTCTCAATTCATGATTGATAACATGTAACCAACCTTCCCTTTTAGGGATGGATTAAGGGTTTTAGGAGAGCTATGTGGATTTTAATGGATCTGTTTTACAGATTAGGAAGGTCTTTCGGCTAGCATTGGTTAGTCATTGAGGTGGCTGGGTTGCAAGAGAGCTACTGCCTACTGGTATATGTGCAGTAAGAGAAGCAAACTTGATGTTCCTCTCTTGTCTGCTTATGTGCCCTGGAGGCACTATTTGAGGATTAGTAGTTTTGTAACAAGTATAAGATGCAATCAGTTAGGGATAGTGTCTAAGTTTGTGGGTGGCAAGGCTCCTGTGCAAACCCCCCTGGCTCCGCCCCTGGTTGGGAATGAACCAGGGGCCGAGTTTCTGGGGATGGAGAGGAACCATGGCCCTGAAAGCTATGAGCAGTCTGAGGGACTCGCCTTTCCACCAAGTTAAATTGAGCTCAAATTTCCTGACCTTCCATTATGTATCCTTTGCCTCATGGTGCTTTCGTGAAGTTTGTTTGGGAAGTGACTTTTCTATAAATCTGGGCAGACCCAGTGCCGGAGGCTCCCACATGAGTGGGGTCTGGGGAAGGGAAAAACCGAGGCAAGCCTCCCCCCCGCAAATCTGCGGAGAGGCTGCTTCGAACCCACGACCTGGTGACTCAGTGAGACAGCTCTCACCACTGCACCAGGCCTGCCCTTCTGACTTTTCTATAAATCTAAAATCTAAAATAGTAAAATACACATGTGCATTACTGAATTATATTCAAACATTTATGTACAAATTATTGGCGCTATGAACAACATATTTCGAGAAAGTAATCAAGTTAAAATGCTACACATGAAAAATATATCTGTGCATTTTTAAAAATATTTTACAATTTGGTAGAAGCGCAGTCTTCTTTTTTCAAAACTAATTAGTTAGTTCAATCTCAAGTGGGGATGGTTTGTCGTTTTCTAGGGCTGCTTGTTGCCAAAGTCCGCTATGGGAAATGTTGATGTTGGATTTAGATGCATCTCGGACTCTGTCCGTATTGATAGAAACAGACAGCTGAGAGTTGAGCCTGTGCTCAGATCTACTAGCTAACTTATCTTTTATTTGTTTTGTCTCCTACTGACTGTTCATGCTTGTAGATCTCCAGGACGGGGAACTTGTACATGGAGAAAACTTTAGTCTATTTGCTGCAATGTCTGCATTGGAAGTAAGCCCGCACCACATCCCCTGCTATTTGATTGTGCTTCATCTCCTTTTTTCTCTCTATTGTGCATTGTGGGTGTCGAGGCTCATGATGCTCTTGTTTCTACTGAACTATTTTGTGCATTTAGTTATTATTATGATTTAGCAATTGGTTGATCTTTTCCTTGTAGACATAGTATTTTCTAGGTCACCTGAGTTGCTTTTATGGACTATCACTCAACTTTTTTGGGCACTTGAGGATCTGGATGCATGCATCCTTGTGAAAAGCTATCTCTTGACAATTCACTCATTGATGTGATAGGCAAATGTTTTTTTAAAAAAAAATTAGATTGGCTTGGTCAGTTTTTTTTTGTGTGGAGTGATTCTTCTCACTGATCTCAGTTTCATTGAAAATTATGAGACAGAGAACATTAATTACATACTCTGTGAGCGAACTCGCTCACTAATTCAAAATCCAAAACATGCATGTAGGTAGGCAATTCAAAATGTGGTATGGATCAAAAGGGCAGACATGTTTAAGGAACCTTTCAAAATATTAGTGAATGCTTCAAAGGACATTTTAGTTCATAATGATAATGTCATAATGACTAAGCCAAACATCATACTGGTGAGGGCCATTGAGTGAGGCACTTCAATGGTTTGTTGTGTTTTTATTGTTTCAATCTATTGCTTGATTTTAGTTCTCAGTATGTACTCCGTCCTGATAGATAATGGATCCAAAAATGGATTCTGGAATTGAGAGAAGTCGATACAACTCCATTGAAGAGGCCATAGAAGATGGTGTTGCGCCAATCCCACTTAGCTTGGACAGGACACTTGATGTTCAACGCTCTATTGATGTCATGGATCATCTTTTCTCATGTGAGGTACTTAAGTCCTCTCTTGCATGTAATATGTGCAACCTTTTCAATTTGACTAAACCACATATTTTAATGCTTTATTTATCAGGCAACATGGCACAAGGGGCACACTCTAGCTCAGACTGTATTTACATGTATCTACCTTATGAGAATGGAGAGAACTTCATCGCATGCTGTACTAAATAGCTTTTGCAGGATTTTGCGTGCTACTTGTAATGCTGTCATTTCTGTTGTTTCTACTGCCCGAACTCATGAGGTACTGGGTTGGACCTTGGATGCTATCTATCTCCATTTTTCCCTGGTTACTTTTATCAATAATCTACGGCATGTCAAGAATATGGAATTTGATGGTTCTAGAAATAATTTATGCATATTAACTATCTTGACAAAGTTCGTTCTTTTATAGCCTCCTTATTTGACTATCTCCACTAAACCCTTTCTTGAAAATTGCTCCAATCTTTCATGTTGCTGAACTTGATTGGATCTGAAGACAATCACCTTGACAAGTTATTTTTGTAAGATAAGACTAGCCTCTCCCTGCAAATGAGTAGCACAAATTAACATTTTTGTTTCTAGATCTGTGCAATTTAGTTTTTAGTATATGTTGTCCTTAACCCTGTTAGACAACTGGTAACTGATAGCTTGCATGTGGAGTACTGGAGTGGATTTCATTAGTCTCTGAATGTCTCCTACATTTCTTACTTTTTTTAGTTTCAGAAGTGATTATGGATGAAAGCTATATTTAGTGCTTTAGGGTGCAGTGCTGTAATGTGTGAGATCTGCTGTACATAATTCATATGTCAATATGAGCATCAGTTTTTATTAGTGTTTAACCTGATATGTGAGATACCACCATCTTTTGTGTAGTTGTAACTCCATGTTTCCACTTGTGAGACAAATCCTTTTTCATGTATATGTAGGAAGAAGATCTCTTTACTATGTCTTTTGGGCTGCCTTTGAGAGATGAAGGTGATGAAAAGTGCCTGTCAATTCTAAACTCAGTTGAAGAGACAATATCTCGTCAATTACGTGCATGTAAAGCCCAGGCATTGTCCAAGAAAAAAACACTAGAAGGTATCAGTATTAAGTGTATGTGCTATATAATCTTATTCTGGTTTTCTCAGTTTATTAATGTCATGAGTATCATTAGTATTGTTGAAACTGCTCCAATTTCAATAATTGTTGTATATTAAGTTTCCTGATGCAAAAAGAAGAAGAAAAGAATTGTTGTCAATTACTGAAGATAGGACAAACTATATGTGCCTTGTTTTAGCTCAACTATCTTTAGTTCAATCTTGAAATCGCGCTAACTGCTGATTAATTTGCATCAAATTATTCACGTGCATGTATGCAAAGTTGCTGAACACTCAACTAGGTCCTTCACTTTTAAGTACTTCTAGCTCAGTCTTTAGAATGGTTTGACATAAAAATACTAAAGAAATAAAAAAGAAAGAAAGATGCAGAAGCCTAAATTGAGAATGAGAAGGTAATTAATTGGATTATTACTTTGACAAGCTTAATATACTTTGATTTTGTCTTATGTAGACTGTATAAATATAAATCATTGTTTTTAAGTCGTCGCCTAGGCGTCTAGTCGAGTTTCCAGGCTGGGCGTCGGCCTTGCCACAACCAATCGCGGTATGACGTCCGCCTTGCAGTAGAAGTCATCGGCTAGGCGCGATTTGGCGCTGTTTAAGGCCTGAACGGCCCAAGGTGGATGCCGCACGAGCTTGCGCGTGTGCGCGAGGGCGCGGGAGCGGGAAAGGGGCTGTGCGCGGAAGGGGGAAAGGACGCAGGGGATTTGCGTGCCAACGAGACCGGCGGGAGTCAAGCACCGGCGGGAAATCAGGCGCCTACATATCCCGCAAGGTCAAACCCCATCTCTTCCACGCGCTTCTTTCCTCGATTCGAGCCTCCCTTCCTCTTCTCCACTGATTTGCGACCCTGATTGTGCCTCCTGCCCCTCCTCTGGTCCTCCCTCATCTCTGCTGATTGATTCACAGCGCCTTCCCCTTCTCTTCGTAAGGTCACAGGATAGGTACGTAAGCATCACTTCCTCTCCCTTCGGCTTCCCTCCTTTTGGATGTGCACTGCCCCTGCTCTTGATTTGGATGTGCACTGCCTCTGCTCGACTTGGATGTGCTCTGCAGTTCACATCTCCTCTGCAGCTCTGCTTCCCTCCTCTTCCTCTGTTTCTTTCCATGTCTTTCCTCTGCTTGTGGCTTTGTTATACAGATGCTGACTGGAAGTGCTCAAGTTCTTTGTTTTTACAGCTGATAGCACAATGGCAAGTCCATCTTCCATCATCAGCAATTATGATCCCAGGACTGATTTAGCTCGGAAGGGAAATTCTGTGGATCCAGGATGGAAGTATGGCTACTGGCCAAACCTTCAAAACAAAGATGTAGTGGCCTGCACTCTATGTGGTGTCTCACTTTTTGGAGGGATAAGAAGGCTGAAGAAGCATCTAGCGGGTGGCTTTAAAGATACAATGATGTGCAAGAAAACTACCACTGCAATTAGAGTAGAGATGGAAAACTGCTTAAATGATCATCCCTAGATGATGCTCACGTTAGATTTCAGATCTGCAGTTATGCTATTTATATTTGTTTTGCCCTAGCAGCACTAGTCATAAAGTTATATTATGTCATTAGAGACTAATTTGTTGCTATTGAGTGATGAGAACTATTTTGCTACTTTATGTTGTGCACTAGCACTCTGGTAGCATTATTTATTATGGTATTATATGCTAAGACTTGACAATATTAAGGTATGATTTGCTTCTGAATTTTAGTAGCATTATATATTAAGATGATCATATGGCGTCGCCTCGCCGCGCGCCTTAAACGCCTAGTCGACTCAAATGGGCGGGTCGCCGCCGCTCGATTTATCGCCTTAAAAACAATGATATAAATTGATGAAAAACCAATATATTCCTTTTTTAATCAATATAAGAAGATTGTTGATGTCGTGATATTAACTAGGAATATTTTATTGCTGCAGGTCTTGAATCCCTGCAGGATAATCCTGATCTGGAAGAGGATTATTGTAGAGCTCTGTTATGCAGATTACGTTTTCGTAAGGTCTTAACCCTTATTTCCTGTTCAATTCTGTTAAAAAATGGCTGACTGAATTTTCTGATTGTTGTGAATTAACAAATGCGTTTCTGAAAGCAGTTTGTTTATCTATGTTCATCTTCTGTTGACCTCTTTTCTGAAAGCATTGTATATATTGATTTCACAGTAAGCAAGTACGATTCCATGATAGATTTTTTTTTTTTGAGAAATAACATGGAAACTGTTGGCCCTTCCTTGGTTTCTCTCCTTATCCAATGATGAAATGATGGAAAAGGACAAACTATTACGCTTGCAATTGCCTTACACATTTATGTATGTTTGTTCCACCATGGTTGTAAGGCGATTCTGATGTTGATGCATTTTGTTGGATAGTTCACAGAGCCTTGGTGCTGCTGTATCCATCCTTTCCGTTCTAAACTCAGTAGGTGTTATCAACCCATCCTGGTGGCTGTTTGTAATTTCGTTGCGAAAGCAATGAATTTGGGCTCGCTCGTTTGCACCACGCGGAACTGTTGCAACTTAAGACTATGCAGTACAATATTGTATAACTAAAGTCTAGAGGTCAACTAGTTTGACATCGGCCTTTCAGTTGTAGGGATCATTTCTGATGAAGTTGTATAGAAGTTTTTTTTCCTTTTATTTTTCAATGCCTCCATCACCTTTTTTTGGTGGTTTTGTAGCATTTCTACCATGTTGTTATGTGCATGAGGAAACCTCATGGAAGAGGATTGGAGTTGGCCCGGAAGCATGTTGCTTCATGCTTGACAGAGCTTAATTTGATGCTTAAGTCTCGGGAGTTTCTCAAGTCCCAGTCCAGCACTAGGTTACAGCAAGGTGATGGAAACTGCACCACTGCATCTGGTTGTCAACCTGTTGGCTTTGATGTTAGCTTAAACAGCAGACTTTTGAGCCCCACACCACCACGTGCGGTAAAAGTACTTAGCTGGAGCGATGTAAGTACGAATTAGGCATTAATTATGCTCCAAGTTCCTACCTTAATTATGCTTGAAGTTTCTATGTTTTGTTGAATCACATCTGAAAGATGGACACACTTTTGCAGCTTCCCATGTAATGCTGTAATAATTATGTTTCAGGCAATCAGGTACTTTGAGAGGCTTCTGCATGATCTTGATGTCATCTGCGCTTCGTCGCTCGATCCTGTGCTTGAGAATGTGCTTCACTTTATTGTACAGTTCCAAAAAACAGTGCCAGATTTGGTTCCTAGAGCATTTCTTCAGGTGGGTCATACTTATATTCTTCGTGGGCCATCTGCGCTACAGCAGTTGGTGTAGTGTATGACTAACTTACAATTTAATGTTAGGTAATTGTTTGCTTCTTTTACTGTTTTAATATCTCACTGATAAATGTCTTATGCTATAACCAAACATTAGTGATGTCTTATGTTATGAAAGTCTTGGATTAATAAAGGGAGGGAAGATTTTATCTTTTGTATATTTGGTTGAAAATGTAGTATGGTATCTGATATTGTGACTATCAATTCATTTATCTTTTAGAAACATGATTTGTTTCATCCTGTACAACGTGCAGTCTTTGAATTCTTTTACGACATCTCATTCGCTGCTTCTTTCTTGCATTAACAATGATCCAAAAATGGCCCTGATGCAGACTTTGTTGGTCCAAGATGGCAAACTTTATGGGGAACACTTGTTTTCTGATGTCATTTCAAGGGCTTTATCACTACCGGACATTATTGGAGATAAGGAATTTCAGATGAATGAGTTTGTTGTGCAGCTAGGTCAGGTCAGACACCAGGATCATTCTTCTCCTCTGTTGATGGTTACTTTGCATCTTCATTTATCTGGAATTATCACTGATTAATTAATATGATGACATTGCAGTTGGTTGTCAACTTAATGAAAATTCTTTGTACAAACACTGCATGGCAACGGCGCAAGCTTGGGAAGAGTTTACAGGATTGGAGTACTATTTCCATACATGTGTGTGAAATCAATGCTGTTTTGCTTATTTCTTCTTTCCTCAGCTTACATTAGTAGACGTAAGTTATGCTTTCGTGTTGGCAAAAGAATCACATCAGCCACAGTAAACAAAGTTGGTTGTTTCATAACCAAGCTGAGAAAACTCAGTTGTCTAAATAACACTTAGTAGTTAGTAGGAATAAATAGTAGCCCATTGCACTGCCAATGACATACTAAATTTTTGGAACGATGAAAAAGGTACCATGCTAGACCCAAGAACGGCAAGGTGAAAAAAGGGGTTTTGTAGCTGATATTCAAGAACACGAATAATGTATTCTAGATTTCTCGTGGACCCAAAGTAGCAAGTTTTGATGTTTTCTCATTGACCCGTTCTTTTAAAAACTTCCTTATCAGGAGCTGAAATTTTTTTATTGATGTTTTAATAACTGCTATAAAGGCATATCAGGATGTTGCAAACCTGCTATGATATCTCTTCTGTATATTTTTAGCTACTTCTAGGGGTAGTTGCAATACTCAAATAGTTTGTGACTACTCCTTGACTGCGATAGTTTGAGTATTTGAGTGCTTCTTCCCCATGTGTATGACGTTGCTTTTGCACTTTTAATGTTTTGTGCTTATACATGTGGCAGTTGGAGCTTGCACTGAAAAGAGAGTTCGGTGAAACTAGACATGTCTTGCAGAATGAGGTATCTCTGATTTAATGTGCTTTCTGAGATAAATATCACTTTCATATACTTGTCATTGTTCAACGTGCTTTGGTTGGTGTGCAGAATATGTGCATGAGAGTATCAAAGCAACTTCTTATTTGGACTCAGGAGCATGCATACTGGGTTGCTTTTCGGTTTCTCACATTGGGTTTCGAACTTGACCTATATTCTCCAGACGAATATTGTATGGTGTACTGGTACATGTATGTGGTGCTCACAAAGCTAATAGAAAAGATGCAGTTACGAGTTCTTGCTAGTAGCGAAACCTGTAAGTTTTGGTGAATTATCCTGCTCTCATATTAGACATGTAATAGACACTAAAATAGGATGGCCACGTAGCATTCAAGGTGACTTGCTTACTAATATCTATCAGATGTTTTATTGCTTTTATGTTAACTGTGTTTTGAAATTTGGTTGTAAAGTGATAAGGAGTTATAGAAAGAGGAAAACTTAAGGGCAAAAATGAATAAGAATTACAAAATGGAGAACATACAGTTTACAAAACATGAAGTCCAGTTCTATGTCAAATGCTCACGTGTTAAAATAAAGCAGAGTATAGCTGTTTAAAAATGGTGGTCCCATATGCTGCACGATTGATTTGAGTCAAATTACAGCCAAATGGCAAATAAAACAGAACAGTACCTGAAACCGAAGAAAGCTCCTCTGACAGACATCAGAGGGCGGTAGCTGATATCTGATCTCTCTGACTTTATGTCAGAGGAGCCTCTTCCCCTGAAATTACATCACATGAAAAAACATGATGTAGCGGCTGTTTGGTTGTCTATTTACAGTTAAACATTTGATTTTGTCTCTTCCACCATTTAAATGGATGCCATGCCATTTTCACTAATACGTGATGGCTTCCTTTTAGTAAAATTTTGTGTAACTTAACATGTATTGTCAAATGTTCAGCACGAAGAAAGGGGAAAAAGAAGAAGGATCATTCGAAGGATTCAGCTCGGGATATAACATTTTCATCCTCTTGTTTATTGCTTCAATGCTATCTCTTGCTATCAGAGGGACTCTCAATGGTACGTATGGAAAAATATGGTCATTTGGAAATCATTCCGGTGCAAAGCATACATTTGTACAACTATCGCCTATGGAACTGAACAATCACTCTCTTATTGCTAATGCAGATGCTAGCTGTTCTCAGAAACGAAAGTAGGTCATTCCAATTACCAAGTATATTTAACACTGAACAAGAGGTGTGATTGGATTTATTGTTGTGACTTCTAACATCCTTTTAAATATGGCTTGAATGAGTCTGACATAATCTCAAATCACTCTTCGCAGAGATTCATGCAGCACTTTGATCTTCTTCTGAAAGCTCGAGTCCCTGAGCACATTTCCTTCTACAGTTTTAAGGAATCATCTTCCCGGGCAGGCATATCGGTGAGTGTTCATTACTGAAATCCCTTTTATCAGTTCTCTCATCTGCTTAGTTTGACTAAGCCTCGATATCTCTTTTTGTCACAGGATTTGGTGAAATACAACTTCTTCAAGGAAATTCAGAAGATAGTCCCCTCACTAAGGGGCAGTTTTGCAAGTGAACCAGAAAAACTTGCTGAGGTCCGTCGGATAGAGCTGGTGGCTGAGCACAACAGGCTAGCCCTAAATATTATCAACCAAGTTGGAGCTGGCGATCCATCTCTGAGGGTCTCGTTTGAGTTTACACACCACCCTCACTTTGCAGTGGCAGTTGTGAAGAGATCATGATTCAAGTTTGGCATCATGTGCCAATTCTTTACCCCTCTCATCTTAATAGTGATAGCAGATAATTCTTGTTCACGTGTTGCTCACATGTTCATTGGTTCTTCAGAGCGCAACACCATGTGTTTTAGGTTGTACACAAACACCATGTAGCAATTTTGTAGGCAAGATAAGAAAAATCAGATGTCGGGGAAAAGCCCTCGCCCCTGGCATTATTTTGTAAGGAAATTTTGAGTTCACTTACTATGCGAAACATGATTATACAGGTGTAATTTGAGTGATAATTCGTCACTGACAAATTTACTTCAATGGATTTGACTGGTATGACAGGGTCGACTTTTGTTCTCTTGTTTGATAATTCTTTTTGCGGTGATAACTGACTCTTACTACAGTATTATTTTGACAATGTACATTGCCTTCGTGTTTTTCATCCATCTTGCTCCTTTCCCTTCTTTTTGTAATGGATGGTCCTGCAGCAATTTTGAAACGTAAAATCCCGTAGATTCAAAACTGAGCACCAAAATTAAAATCTGATCGCATCTTTATATTCCTTTCATTAGCCCATCAAACCAAGACATCACTTATGTAAGTTCTGATGATATTTTGTTGTAAAAGGAACCTTGTTGTAAAAAATGCTTATGAATCTAACAAAGTGGAATAAGTAAATGTTTTCTCGTGTAGACTGTAGACGACTCTGGAATATAACTTAAGCATTTTAACTGCTTTTATAATGTCATTTTTCTATATTGATGTAAGCAATTTGTGCCTTCTAATAAAATTACGCTTATATGTAGGCATATGGATCTCATTTTACTGATAATAAATCAGATTCACAGTTTGAAAAAATAGCAGCACTTGGAGGTTAATGTACTATATTTTTTTTTTCACTTGTACAATTGACCCCTGGCTACTTGCGAGTTCTTAAGTGGAAAGATATGAATTCATACTTTTTTAATTGCTTAGGGCGTCCTCAACATGCGTGTCTTAGCTTACGTTATATATAGTTGCTGATGCCGAAGTAAAAGAAAGTAGTAGAAACAAAAAGTAGCTACATATATTGCTGACAAAACGAGACAAGCAGCACACCGCGTCAAAATTGTTAGGCACACTTGCAGGACCATCATGATTTTTAATTTTGAAATGTTCAATTCAGCCAGGATATTCTAGACAGTTGACTTTGGATCACAAATTCAGTGCTGCAGGTAACGTACGTAGTTGGGCATGCAGTACAACTAGTAGGAGTATCTCCGGCACTCGAATCATGACAATGCCCTTTTTCTTTTACGAACTCAGTGCGCATTTCTTGACTTGCTTTTTTTTGTGGACATGCATGGAAGTATGGAACCAGTTAAGCCAGATATTTAATTTCCTCGTTTATTAGTTTTTTATAAGGAGGAGGAGGAGGGGAATGGAGTAGGGATCGGAGACTGTTGCTCAAGCTCCCGAAGAACACCATGATTATTTTTCGCGATGCAATTGTCCACAGAATGACAGAAACTTCTTTTGGCATCATATCAGGACTGGACTTTGCACTGATACGACGCCATCAAACTTTGGTAGGACGTAGGAGTAGATTCGACCGGCTGCTTGATCACGCTAGTGCAGTGCGTGCGCTGAATTCAACTTCTCAAGTTTCCAGGTATGATTTAGCAAACACGCTGATCATTAGACTTCGTTGCAAACGCACAATGCTACCCATCGCGAGGAAGAAGAGGGCAAGCTCAGCCGTAGACCTGATCATGGAGCACGCGATGATCTGATCCGTCAATACATCGGATGGGTTTGGTCCATAATTTTCGATCCATAACCGACGTAAGCTGAACTAACAAAAGAAACGGTATGCCTAGCGCGGGGACGTCCGGCGTCAGGACGCGTCCGGACGCTCCGCCCGCGGACGGTAACCGCGCCAGCATGCGTGCGCGCGTCCCCATCCGCGCCCTATCTCCTCCGCACCTCAATCCTGCCACCACGCTGCCATCTCAGACGCGCTCCTCTTTGCAAGCCCTCGCCGCGCCCCCTCCCACAGCCCCTGCAGCGCCGCGCCCGTTTCATGCTGCACGTGGGGCCCGCGCTGCCCGAGCGACAAGAGGGGAAGGGCGCATGGCGCCTCCGATTCGGAAGGACCCGGCCTGGCGTTGTGTGGATGCCCTGCCGGCTCCGAGAGAGATGATGCAGCAGAAGGTGAGGAGGAGAGATGCAACGTCCGATCTACTTTTGAAACAGAAACATCTAAATACGACACTTGCAACATACGTCTGAAGGCAGTTGAAATACTTGAAACATGCTTATGAAACGCTTGAAAAACACACCTGAAACACACTTGAAAACCATTGCAGCCATACGCAACATCCGAATAAACACATGCAACATACGTGTAGAACATATGCAGCATCCAGATAAACACAATTGCAACATGCGTCCGGAAAACACAAATAAAACATACCGCTGAAACACTTGAAACATACTCTTGCAACATGCCTCTAAAACAATTGCAACATGTGTAACATCCCCCGATCTACTTTTGCAACATCCATATGAAACAAATGCAACATACCTCTGAAACGTATGAAACAATTAAAACATACAATTGCAAGGGGGGAAAGAGAGAGCATATCGTAGGGAGCGCCATGGCCGCCCGATCTGTGGGCATTGGGGGCTCCCGGTGGGGGAGGACGCCGGTGTGGGGGGAGGGGCGCCGCTAGGGTAGGGGAGGAGGACGCCGGGGTGGGTGAAGGAGCCGCCGGGGGGGAGGAGGACGCCGGGGTGGGTTAAGGAACCGGCGGTGTGGGGGAAGGAGCCACCAGGGTGGGGGAGGAGGAGGACTGGGTGGGTAAGGGCGCCGCCACCGGACAGGGAGGGAGCCAACGGCACACACGATGGGAACTTATGATGACCATCCAAGCGTTATGCGTTTTGTCAGTGCAAAGATACAATGGAAAGGGCAAGGGATTGCTTCATACCTTAAGATCTGCCTGCGTCGTGCTTATAGAGCCATAGAGGTTATATGGGTTTGATCAGAGTATTTCTTAGATTTTCTTTTGCGATAATGATATGGTGAGGACATCCGTCTGTCCGGACGCGCCTCCCTAGGCCTGCTCCCCCTCATGGCCTATCTAAAAAATGAATGACGTGTTTCTCTTCCTTTCAGCCGACCCGCTCCTCTCCCTCATGTGCGCCTGCTCCTGTCCATCCCATGCGTCGCTCGCTCACTCCGTGGCTGGGAGTGGCCCGCTCCTCTACGTAGTACATTCAGCCTAGCTCTTCCAGACAGTTGACTTGAATCATCGTGACATCACTCGACCCCTCTGATTTTCTGTTTTGGAATTCAACACACGCATCTCCCGGCTATTTTCTCGGTGCCTATTTTTTGGGCCATCATCTGTTGCGAGTTGGTCGTAATGAGATCATCATCCTTTAGTTAGTTAGTTAATTTCAATTTATGGATGGAGTATATGGTTATTTTGTGATCTCATAGATTAACAATAATGAGAAGGGAGACTCGAATTACCTGTTCGGCAGGACTGAAAAATACTGTTTCGGCTGATTGTTGTGAGAAGAAAATACTATTCTGGCAGGACGTGAATAGTGATTTTACGAGGTGGCTGGCCAGCCAGCCGGCAATCAGCCGAACACAGCCGAAGAAGGGAACGTAACCGATGAGAAGCGGTTGGTACCGCATCATGCATGATAGTATTTTCCGTCCATAATATATATACTTATTTTTGCGCACAGAATATAATAATCTTCTTGCCATGAGTTTGACTTTTTTTTTATGACTACCATGAGTTTGACTTTGACGCCACCAAACTTTGGCATGCAGGTTTGGATGGGACCCTGCAGCTGTAACTGGCTGCGTGCTTCATCACGCGGCTGGGAGCACCTCCAAGTTCCAACGTATAATAACAAACGTATCAGTATGTGTAATCTCAAAAAAAAAAAGGTATCAGTCAGTTTAGCTTTATTCTAACTTATCCCGTTTATAAATATATATTTAAATTGTTTTTTAATTATCTATTTAACGTATGTCTTGCTCTTGATAATGTATTTAGCCACAATTGTAGATTTTAGTATTTTTTTTAGAAAAAAACTTAGTTAAAATCTAGATATAGATAGCCATCGGATAGAAACAAATTAACCTTAAAAAAAACTTATATTTGCATAATCACGGAAACTACTACTAATGATCAATAATAAACAATCTAACATGTAAACTTGCAAATAAATGCCCTAATATAAAATGGTCTACAGAAAAAGGGAGCGTGCCAGTATGGCAATATGCCCTATTTGCAGTTGCAAATAAAAGAGCGTGGAATCGCGTCAACTTTATTAATCAGCCATAATAAAGCTAGGGTAACCGACCAAACTAGCCACCTGAAACGCCTTTTTGTTTGTTGTATGTATGTAAATTGGGAATCGGGATCGGGTAGCCTACTCTACTCATTGGATCTGAGCTCAAGAACTCCAGATCGATAGGAGCACAAGGAAGCAAAGGAGACGCATCGATCCGAGAAAATCAATTGGAAGCCTTCCTCCTACGCCGCCGGGCTAATAAAAAAGCCAAAGTGAAGGGGAGTCCGTTGGTCACAGAAGCGGGGGACGGGAACACGTGTGCTAATGTCACGCACCACGCGGCAGAGGCCAGAGGCAGAGAAAAAAGACCCCGTCTCCAGTCCAGCTCCAGCTCCAGCTGCCTGCGTCGCCTTCCCTCCGGCAGCCCTGTCCCCGTTCCGTTTCACACGCCGCCAGCCTCCTCCTTCCTTTCATTCGTCCCCCCTTCCGTCCCGTCCAGACTCCCTCCACGACAGTAGGGACTAGGGAGAGAGAAGAGAACGCCGCCACTGCGTCCTGCCGGTGGACGTCTGCCCTGCTTCCGGCTACCGGATTCCCCTGCACTGCAGTTACGTTACGCCGGCGATCTCCTTGGGTCAAGTCAAGTCAGGGCCTTTCTCTTTGCCAGGTTCGTTCGCTCGCTCGCTCGTTCGTTCATCTCCTCTTGGTGGCTTCGC